TTGAAGTGTTGCTGTTTGCTCTGCGCTCCCCTTTGGCGGGCGATTTTGTCCTTAAACATGCGCACTAAACGCTAATAGTTTGCCCTCCGACACCGCGCTGCTGCCAATCTGCTCGCTCCCCAGCCTTCAGCCCCCCCCAGCCGCCATATCACTCCCCCAATCAACCCCCAAAGAAGGCGCTGCTCCATTTTGTTCCGTTTCAGATTCATTCTAACTCCGCTTTCAGCCCCCAAAATCCGCTTGGATGGTCGAGGAACTTACATATTAAATATTCGAAAATATGCATTCGGTTCACTCATTCGTGACACGAAGGGGGCTGGGCAGGGCAGGGGGGGATGGTTGTTTACTTCCTGTTCCCGCAAGATTGATTCACAGCGTGACCAAAGGTCCTGCAACAGAATTATTCACGCATCTCGTCGATGGACATGCAAGCCAGCCAAAAAAATAAAACATAATAAAAAAAAAAAAGCCGGACACGTGCGCTCCCTGATTTTTTACGACTCTAAGGAAGGAGCAGAATGCGGCGTAGGCGGGCAGGAGTAAAAAACATTTTATGAGGGTGTCGTACAAGTTTCAATATCCTTGACCCCACGGATCATTGGCCTTCTGGCTCATCATGGCAAAGTCCGGCAAGAGGATTTCTCTAGTCACACCCATTAAATATTTTTTTTCCTTCCGGTATTTTTTTGATGAGTTCCGTGCTAAGTCTGTGAAATATTTTAGAACATAGCAAAATTATTCCTGCATTAAAATTGTATTCCTTAAACTGAAACTAAGCCAAAAAGAATCTTGAAGTGCCCTTCTTCCCAGCTCCGCAATATCTCCCGTTGCAAGACCCTCTACATAAGGAATCAAATCAATAATTCTTATACACACACACATTCCTGACCCACACACAGCAACAACAACAACAAAGTAAATAAAAGATGGGAAACCATCTAAAAAATAAATTCCACATTCCATAAAAACGAAACACCGAAAAACTGGGCGTTTCCGGAACCCGCAATAACTGTCAAATATCAATGTGCCCCCAAAAACGACTAAAAAAAACAGCAAGAAATATCATAAAATAAATAAATTTATGTAGGACAATAAAAATAAAATCCAATAAAAATTGCCTTTCCTCCGGGAACGCCGGAGCACCAGCAACCCAAGAGAAATTCTGTCTTCTTGCGAATAAGGATGTGGGAATTATAACCAAATTATATTTAATGGAATGTACAATCAAATATATTTACATGCAATGCAATGCAAGGCATGTGGCGGTGCTCGTAACAAACCCCCCGCATTGCCGTGATCGTATTCAAATGGAGGTCAAGTTCAGTGATAAATATTATTGGGTTTACTATTTATTTATTTATTATTTTTGCCCTTTAATTGTGGCCCGCATTAGACCTTGAGAAGCTGCAATTTTCGGTCTCTTTTTGGGGCAATTATTCAATAGTTTAATTTGCAGTCCGCTATGACAGATTACCTACAGTGACAGTGCCAGTGACCCTCGATGGGCTGCGCACTGCACCCCTAAACCGATTTGTTTTGTTTGCATGTCCCCGGCACAAATGATGCTCATTAGGAGGCGGCTGCTGCCCATGAGGGTGGGCTCAGCGCAGCAATAAATTTAATTATAGTTAATCTTCAATAATTTGGCATGAGAAAATGCTCAGGCCAAGGGCCGAGACAGTAGAAAAGTAAAAGTATAGAGGGTGCAAGATAGAGCTTCCAGATAAAATTTTTTATGCAATGTTTGATTTTTATCAAGCAATCATTAAGCATCCATTTGATCGATAGAGGAAATGGATGTATGACAAAGCATAGAAGAAATATTCAGTTAGGTAATCCCCCCTGCAACCTGTTCATGTCAGAGATCTGTCGATAAGGCATTCTGCCATTTATACTGAATAATCATCAGCCTTAAGTCTGATTACAGCGGATTTTAGGCGGCCATCTGGGTGGTGTTTTTTCGATTAAAAAACATAGAACATGGCCGGCAGTGCCGTGCCTTAGATAAGCCACACAAAATTTACATATACTCGTACGAGTGTGTGTGTCTGTACCTTTCGGACCTACATCAAAGCGAAGGCAACAAAAAAGCAGGCCACAGACATTGAGGCAGAGAGAAACTTGACATTTTGCACTTGGTCAAGCATGGAGAGGCGGCGGGCGCACAGAAACTGGGGGAACATCTGAAGGGGTTTGCACAACTTATGGCGACATCGATAGTACAAATACCAAAAAAAAAAAAAAAAAAATAAAAGAAACCCCTAAAAAATAAAGATACACAGAGACTCTCTCTCTCTCTCTCTCACTCTCTTTCTGTGTAGGGGGTGAGAGCAAACCACTCGACAAGCTGTTGGCATACATACGATACGATACGAGAGGAGAATGTGCTGAAAGACACTCGAAAGTATGCTACAGTTGCCGGCGAATGTCTCCACAGACACAAACACAGAGACAGAGCCAGAGCCATAGCCAGAAACATATTCGTTCTCACTCTCATCCTGATCCGTAATCCCCCCCCACCCGGCCCACACAGCGAGCGCTGCCTGCCTGTCATTTATCTTCAGCGTTTTTTTTTTTTTTTGTATTTTGCGTGTAACGAGAAATGTCGAGCAGCGGCCCAAAGTTTGTCTGTTCCTTGTCCTTTTTTTGTTGTTGTTGTTTTTTTTTTATCTTTTACAATTAGAAATGCTGTCCTTGGGGTACTCCATATATATTTTTATATATTCCCTTTTTTCTGATTTGTTCGTCCTTTGGTCAGATAAATGCAATTTTCGGTGTTGTTCTCCCCCCTCGCTGTTGGCATGTGATTAAGGAAGGAAATTGTTTTGGACGCACAAAACAAATAACGCGCATGGGGCTTGTCCTGGCCCTGTCCTGTTCTGTCCTGTCTGCTTGTCTGTCGGACGAGGAGGAGGAGCAGCAGGATATTCGTTCGGTTCTTATCGCCTAAGTAGCATCATTTAACTGCTGTCTGTGGTTGCTTTTTACCCGCTTTTCCTTGCTTTTTCCAACTTTTTATTGCATCATTTGTTTTTGGTTTGTTTTCTTTTTTTTTTGTTTGTTTGGGTCAAATAATCGCCTGGCAGTATAATTTGTCATGATGTATGTGAGAGAATGTTTTTAAGGTAATTTCTGTTTCCGATTTAGGTTATTCGATTCATAGTGGAGGAAGGATAGGGCAGGCAGTACGTTTGTCACAGGAAATTGAAAGTATTGAACGTGTTTGACTGTTATTTTAACGATTTTTGAACGATTTTTCTGGCTTCATAAGTTTTTAAATAAAGTACATAAATATAATACAAATCTTTTAAAAATAAATACAATAAAAAAAAACAATCAAAAAATATTACCATTAAAAAAAATTAATATATTTAAAATTAAATTAGTTTTAAAATGTTTAAACGTTACAAAAAAATTAATATATAAAAAATTAAATTAGTTTTTGTGACTATAAGTAAATCTTTTAACACTAAGATATAAGGAAATATTTATTTTTTATTAAATAATTTAATATAGAAATAGATCAGCAAGTAATAAATTCTATGCCACATATACATGTACCTCGTGTCAAATCAGATCGAATTTATGTTCACAAATGATCGATCTAGCAGCTTTAAATGTGGTTCATAGAGAGAGAATCACTTGCTTGAAGAAGTCACCCACTAATTGGGCATATGGACTTGCGGTTGCCTGGTCCCACCACAAATCCAACAGGTTGTCGCAGTTACTATCGTACAATGCAATCAAATCACATATCATAGCCTCTTAAAAATGGTGGATGAAGCTATCAGACAGACACACACACAATTCTAGATAATTGCATAAGCAGGAATGTTAAAAAAAAAAATGATTATTGTCCATCAACGAGGAGCAGAAATGTGGTGAAAGGGAAGGGAAGGGCATCATTTGATGGGTTTGTAGTTTGGGGTGACATTTTGTGGTTAAACAATTTTGCCCTTGCCAGCGGGATGGTGCGGTGTGGGTGGCAACGAACGCATAATTTATAATTGTCAAAGGAATTGCCAGGGGATCGGGGCTGCTGGGTGCGGGGTTGCGTCAGGCGCTGATTTATGGAATTTAATAAATTTCCACAGATTTTAATCGCTTGTAATTATACGAAAAAGAAGCACAGCACAGCAGCAACAAAAAAAGGTGCAGCAACAGCAGCAGCACAAAAAAAAGGACACAGCACACAGAGACAGAGACGGGAGAGAGACACTGGGCAAAATTTCAATTAAAATTAAGAACGAAATCAGCGACAGGTAATGTCCAATGGCTCTCCCCTTATTTGATTGGTTTTTTCCAACATTCAATGGCCGTGTGTGTGTGTGTTTGTGTGTGTGTTACCAATTCAATTTACCAGCCAAACGTTTTCCTTTTATTTTTATTTCATTATGTATTTTTTTTTTCTTGCCTGGACTCTGGACTGGATCCCCGTCTGGTCTCCCCTGGTTCTTGCGTTTGTATTATAAAGCCTCTCATATTCTTAGCAGCAGTCGCAGATTGATTTTCCGCTACTCGCCCCGCCTATCGAGATGTGTGTGGGTGTGTGTGTGTATTTCCTTGGAGACAAGTTTGGTTTTTTTTATCCGAACTTCAAAGAACTTTCGTCTGAGCCTCAAGTGTCCTTGCCGTGTGTGGTCCTCGGCTTATGCGACCAAATTTTCTTCTTCCTTCTTTTTTTTTTTTGATTTCATTTATGTTGCGTTTTTGTGGCTTCAATTTTTTTTGTTTGTTATTTTGCCCCGCTTGGCGGCTCAGGCGGCCTCAATTTGATGGCCCAAAAAAAAAAAATAAAAATGACAAAAAGATTGGAGGAGGTGTGGCCCAGTCGGCACTTTTGTGGTTTCTACGGGTAGGACTTCAGTGATAGGTCAAGGGGGTTGGCAGCTTCTAAGAGAGATCTGCGTAGGGTCTGCGTAATTTTCATCCAACTTTAATTGGAACAAAGCGCACTAAGAAGAACTGTTCTTGATGTTTCAAAATAAAATTTCGGAAACTTCTATCAAGCGTCGATTTTAAATTCAAAAAATTACAAATTTCTTTAAAATGTATACATCAAAATTGTGCGTTTTTCTCGAGGCATATATCGACAACATCCGCGGCTAAAGGTCAGCCAAATAACAAGCAGTCAATCAATCAATCAAACTGGCATCATGGACAGTCCACCTGGACACCTGAGTGTGTATATGTTTGTGATACATACTGCCATATTGATGTCGTACTTTGTCCTGTGCAGCATCCTGCAATGGATGCTGCTCTGCATCTACATGAAGCATTCGCATATTGTGTACACGATGATCTGCTTCTTTGCCGCGCTGGTGCTGCTCACCTTCATTCACTTCAGTCAGTTCCTCAAATACGGCAAGCCCTGGAACTATGTGGCCATACTCTTTTGCTATGAACTCTTGACCCTGGGCGTCACCAGTTTCATTGTGGACAGCAGCGTTGGCGCCGCAATTGGCGTCGTTGTGGGTGCACTTTTCCTGTGGATCATTGTACTGGCGGGCTGCTATGCCATCATCCGATTTGTGAGCTATCCGAATCCCTATACATTGGCCGGCATTGGCATTGTGGGTCTGATGATGTCCATGGTTATGGTGGCGGTCGAACAAGTGATTGAATGTCGCGCCTGCGGCGAAATAGCATTGGTCGCTGTAATGGTAACCGTAATACTTATGATGATCTCCCATGTGCTGTTGACACACGACAGTCGCGATTTACTCAAGAAAGATGACACCCTGCTGGTGGCATTTGTGCTCTACATACACTATGTGATATTGATGGTGACCATATTCATTTTTGTCATTCGCGACAGGCGCTACAGCAAAGAAAATGAACCCACACCCACAGTCAGCGCACCCAGTTACAAGCGTCCCACCGAGTCTACAATGGATCCGATCGAAAGATACAAATATATATTTACAGATTATTGACGTGCTGGAATGCCAGCCCAGCCATCCGCGTTGATGCCTTGAAGATTCTCTCTCTATATGGTACAGTGCACATGTGAATCATCCCATCTAGCCTCAATCACGTCCCTGACTCATAATATTTACGTGACTGTCGGCGTCGATCTGTAATCGATTTCTGTTTGTGGAAATGCCTCATCTTTTTAACTGATAATATTCGTACTTGGTTCAGATTTGATTGCATAAATGAGCACAAGATTTAATACATCAATTTGTTTACTTATTTCTCAGGGGTTTGGCAATTAAGATATATTTTATGGGGGTTACCTTGATAAATATATATTATCTAAGTACAGCTAAGATTTAAATATATTTTATTTTCTTTACTTATATATTATTTATTATATGGATTTAAACAGCTGACGATATTTTTATTTATTTTTTAAAATTTTTTTTTTAGGTTAATTATTGATTGTATATTATTATATATAATATATTATATATAAAAATATATTATTATTATTTATAAAAAATATATATTTTTTTATTACTTATATATTTTATTTTTATTATAACATTTATTATATACATTTAAACACCTTTAAAAGGCCAAAATTGTTCTGAGTAAGCTTTAAATTGTACAAGTGAAGAGCATATTACTTTTAAAGCCTTTAAAGGACTCGTAATAAAAACAAATGATGCTTTCTGGTCACACTGGTCAGCCATAAATTAAACTAGAAAAATATTTGCCAATTGAAATTGCACAGGAAGCAGGCAGGCAGGCAGGCAGGCAGAGTGGGGCTACCAGGATGGATACCCACCCACTCCCACACACACACACACACACAAACAGAATGGTCAGGAGGAGGATGAGATGCCTGACGGCAATTGGAAATTGTCGTCATTTCTGTTGTTATTGCTAGGTTTTTTGGTTCGCAGCAGCGGATGCAATTCCTACAAAATGATAATTTATGATAATGATGCTTCCGTTATGGGGCGCACAAAACTGGACACGCGGACATGCGGACATGCGAGAGACATTGCGATTGTGGCATGCAGCATAAAAATCATACAGCCAGAGCCACGGAGCAGGGGGCAGGGAAATGGCGCAAAAATTTGCCCCGTTTTCATTCATTTCACGGCGCACTGGCCTCGCATATTTATTGATAATTTCCGTGAATTTTGCAGCAGTCGAGCGCAAGCGGAAGTTGTGCCATTTGCTGCACGCCTGCCCAAAAAAGGACAATAGTTGTGTCATGCAGCGGGGTGTGGGGTCTGTGGGCCATGATGGGTTAATGTTTGCCATACGAGACTCTGCGGCAGCCCCCAAATCAAAGTGTGCCTGCCTATCGATTGCGTTTTGTCTAAGCAGACTGTCGACTGTCTCCCACAACAATTGTTTTGACTGCCGCCGCCCCTGAGTATTTATGGGTTACGCTCGAGCAACAATAGAATGCCCGTCCATTGTCTCTGGATATCAATAAACATTAGCCAGACAAAAGGATGACTCTTGGGCGAGAAATTCTAATGACCTTGAAAATTAGTTCCTGCATAAAACGGGCGACGGCCACCGCTAGGATCTGACCTCTCTCCACACTCCAAAAGCTCCACAAAAATTGTTAATTATTGTTTATTATTTATCGCTGATTGCATATTAATTGTTTTCGCTTTATGACAAAAATTGCATTTTAATTTGAGCATTGCCAGCATATGGCATATGGACATTGGCCGTCGGTGGGGTCAGACGCGTTAGCATATGCTGCGGCTCCAGCTCATTGCCGATGCACTGCATCCGCTTCTGGTCAATTGGCAGGCAGATGGCAGATGCATTAAGGCCACAAATAGTGTGGGACAAAACGGGGCAGAGACGACAGACAAAGCCCAACCGGTGACAGCAGCCAGACCCAAAGCGGGGGCATAATGAGCCCGCGAATTGTTTGAATTATTATCGAAACTTTAATCATGATGAAATTATATTTATATTATTTATTACGTGGATAGAATGGCCAATGGAAGCTATTTGAGCTATTGGAATTGAAGTTTAATTTATAAGTAAATTTTGATTTAAATGTCAAGTAAATAAAAGCATTTGCTTTGTGTAATAAATATATAAATTGAGATTGATTTACTAATTAATGCGTAGCTTTGACTTTCTTTGATGAACTCGAATGATTTGTAGCTCATTTAATCAACAAATAATGCCACGAAAAACATAACGCGAAAAACAACCATAGAATAAATAAATATTAAAAAAAGAATTAAAAGTTTAAGTATGTAGAAAAGTTTGACGCTGGCAACTTTGGGTCCATATATCTTCAGGCATATTCATGCTATGGACACGGCTTAAATATTTTGTGAAAGGTTCTTTGGTTCTCCTTCCAGCTCATCCGTTTGTGTGGATATCTGCGTTGGAAATGCCGAGTACAACTGCTAAAAATTCACGAGACAATAAATGGCAGGTTTTTGAATTTAAAAAAAAATATTTTCTAATGCAAATTCTAGGTATGAGTAAATGATCTACTCGTCAGGTTCTACCAGCTAAGTTCATGAAGTACATTCATTTATTTTGTCATACAGTGTAATTGTGGACTTTATTTAGTCGTGGTATTCAAAGGTAACAACTCCATCACGAACATATGATCACGCAGATGTGTACAGTCTACAGCTTGAAATATAACACTTAAATTGGGATGTCGAAAGAACTGCTTAATCTGTGGAATAATGTGGACCGCTTAAGTGCCAATGCCAGCCACAGAAATTCCAATACCGATACTCACCAACTGCTTACAACTGACTTGATCGAAAACCAGCAGCAGGGGATCCGCACGGCGACGTAGAACCTGTCGCATTTTTGTTTGATTCAAATTGAAAAATGTAAAACTTAGCATCGGTTTAGTGACAATTAAAGTCTTGAGCTTTGGGCAGTCATCCACCATTTCCCACAGTTGATCGGCATTCGTCCAGAGGTTCAAACTATGCAAATGCAATTGTTGCAGGCAACGAAAGCGCTTGAAATTTCTGTAAATGTGCAATGAGGCGTGCTCTTTGTGCCCCACACCAACGATAGTTAGATTGAGAACTTTCTGAAAATATACCCACGCGCGCTGGGACATAAAGTAGAATGTCAGGACATTCGTAGTTTCAGACAAAATTCGACGGTCACCAATATTGTCAATAATTATCCAAGGATCCGTGAAGAAGGCATTGTAAGTAAATTTTCGCAGCTTTGGTAGACTGCTGAGACCGGGAATTATTTCGCTGACAATACCAAATTCCAGTTCTTCCAGTTCCTGCAGACTGTTTTCTATGCTCGGAAAAGGCAATTGGTACACGGCAATTTTTAGCACACGCAGTCGAAGATTCCCAAGGACGTGCTCCATGGCTTCGGGGCTTATGTTCCAGCATTGCCGAAGGTCCAGATAGCTGAGGTTCTTCCAGTTGCTCAGGTGCCGGCTCATGCGACGGCAATTCACTGTGACCGCTTCCAGCAACGGAAAGAATTCGGTTAGGAGCTTTATTTGCGATTCATCGACGGGACCACTGTCGTCTTCGTCATAGATGAGAATTCGCATTTTGGGAAATCTGTGCTTCTGCCAAATGGCAAGCTGATCCTTTGGCACGCATCGGAGTGTCAGCTGCCTGAGTGTGCCACTCACTGCGCCCAGAAAGGCGTCCAGCACAGCATTTTGTTTTCCCTCGAAGCAAGGGCCGCACAACTCCCGTTTTTTTGGCAGCTGCCAGGTGCGGTACAGAGCCACATTCAACGTGGATGTTGGCTGGCTGGCCTGCCACAGCACTAATTGCTCATCCAGTGTCAGGTACTCCACGATGTGGCTTCAGAAAATATTATTAGCGCGAAGGTGAACTATGTAATTAGGCGTAAGCGACTTTAACTTACAGCAGGACATCGTAATTCAGGTCTAAAATATTCATTGTTGGGTGACGCTCATATGTTAGTGTAGATGGATAATGCTGCTAAGTGAAAATCATACAGGCAACCAGTCGGAAGGTGTTATCAAGGCCTACGTGTTCTGCCCATTTATAGGAATTGTTTCAGTAATGCAGTTAAGTATTTTCAGAAAATACTAGGCCTAAAAAATGCTAGAAATACCATAGATTAAAACTGAAATTTTGAGTATTAAATATTAGATCCCATTTGGCATTTCCCTTTATTTTGCATAAACATTTTCCTCCTATCATCAGAGAAGATTAAAATATAAATGATGTAAGTCTTGCAGCAATATAAAAATATTCTAAATATTCCCGAAGTTTTCTCTTCATAAATAAAGATTTAAAGATGATATATTAATATTTTCTGTAATCAAGAGTATTAAATATTAGATCCCATTTGGCATTTCCCTTTATTTTGTATAAACATTTTCCTCTTAACATCAGAGAAGATTCAGATATTAATGATGCAAGTCTTGCAGCAACATAAAAATATTTTAAAAAATTCCCGCAGTTTTCGCTTCATAAATAAAGTTTTAAGTAAGTCATATTAATATTGTCTAAAATTATGAGTATTAAATATTAGATCCCATTTGGCATTTCCCTTTATTTTGCATAAACATATCATCAGAGAATAATAAAATATAAATGATGCAAATTTTTGATGCTTTTAAGCTCTAAAAATATTTTTTAAAACCCAACAAGTTTTCTCTTCAAATATAAAGTATTTCAAAATAAAATATATTAACAGTTTCCAATTTTGTATTTAATCTGTCTCTTTTACCACATGAATACATTATTATACCCATTATACTTCGCCAAATACCCATTATAATTATGTGAATTTAGCATCAAAATTTATGCAATTCAGCAGCCAACTTTTGGCTATCGAAAGCACGAGGGCAAATTTGTTCAGCTGCATTGAGCTGAGCTACTCATTTGCAAGAATTTAAAGTGCACTTGCCAGTTGCATGTGGCATGGCATGGCATGGAATATGGAAATAGTTTTTCCCTTATCTGCCCGAGTGTCGCGGGGGGGCTGGCAGCAAATGGAGCCAAAAGTTATAGACGAACAGGCAAATGCAGGAGTCTGCCATTTCCTTCATTTCTCTCCATCTCTCCAACTGTAGGAAGTAGTTCCATCAGGCACAAAAAAAGGACCAACTTTCATTGGGTATAATGCGAATCCCACAGTGCGAGAGAGAGCGAGCGAGAGCGAGAGAGAAGTGTTTGGCATAAAGTTATGCGCCAGCCAAACAACAATAAAATAATATAATTTTTTTGTTTGCCAAACTCTCAATTGTAGGAGGGTTTTCTTTTTTTTTTGGGGGGTTTTTGGTTGGTGCCGAGTACGTGTTGCCTGGCGTTCTTTGCTTTCTTTCTTTTTTTTCGGGGAAATTCGCGACTTGCGTTCGACGCTTGGCCATAAACTTTTGAAGGAATATCGAAAAGTTTCTGCCTCGCATCGCGTTCTCGGCTCGGCAAAAAGCTTGGAAGCTGCGCGAGAGACACACAAAGGCTACAAAACTTATAACGAGAAAACTTTGGCACTTGGCAAATGCGCGATAAAGAAACAAACAGAACAGAACAGAACGGAACAAAATAGAAGCTGAGAAGCTTTGGCTATACGTATACGTACGTACATATATCTGGAGAGGAGAGTAGCGGAGATGAGACGCGCCGGAGATGAGCAGGAGCTGGAGCTGGAGCCGCGAAAGGAGGCGGCGAAAACTAGAAGAAGATGCCTCGGAGTTGATACGAGGCAGAGGTAAGTTGGCTAAAAACAAAATGGAAGCTGATAAAACTGTTCTTTGGCATTCGCGAATTATGGTTACTCTAGGATTAAAAACGAAAACGTAAGAGTCGCCGGAAAAAAACTACTCAACAACCAATAAAAATATAAAAAATAAATATAATATAATATATAAATATTTAAATTCAATAAAAAGATAAGATAACCAAAAATAAAATAAAAACAATAGAATTAATGCCTGTTAGCAGTGAGAAAAATATGATGCCTGTAAGATTTTATTTTATATAAATATATGAATGAAATTAATTAGGTTTAAAAAATAGCATTAAAATTAAAAAAAATATATAAATTAATACTTAAAAATAAAAGAAAAGTGTCACCATGTCAGTGCGATGGAAATTAGGTTATACCCAGAACAGGATATAGGCAACAGCATATATCCAGAGCAGCGATTGGATAAAAACTTGCTCAACCTCAGCCCACACAAGCCTGGGGGGGGGGCAGGGGGTTCGGCGTACGGGCTTGGAGGCTTGGGGCTGGTTGGATGGTTGGCGAAATATAAAAGTTTGGCAAAAGCAAAATTGTTCCCTGACAATGGAAAAGCAGAGGGAAAACTCAAGAAAACTCATTCGCGCGCATTTCAACTAACTAGCAGAGTGGGTGGGTGGGTGGCCAGTAGAGGTTGCCAGTAAGGAAAAACTGGCAAAAATTATTATTTACGCACGGATGGTGTCATCTAATTATGAATTCATTTTGCATTTTGTATACCAGCAACAACGGGTTCCCATGGTCGGTTCCTTGGGCGGTTCCTTGGGCCTTCCTTTTTGATGCTGGGGCCGGCTAAGAAATTAACAAAATGCGACCGCACTCGGACAATACACCTGCAGCAGCAGCAGCAGCAGCAGTGGCAGCATTCTGATCATCATTCCGCTCATTATTACGCTGCTGGTGGCACTCTGTTGGCTTGCTTTTGCGCTGCTTTTAATGCAATATATTTTGCAAGAGATTTTTCCAAGCAACCGCGACGATAAAAAGTTTGCTGCACGCAGCATTTTCACTACCGAGTATTTTTCGCATTCTGCAGTTGCTGCTGCATTTTGGCTTGGACCAAAAGACCAGGCCAAAAGAAAATTTCATGCTCTTTGCAAAAACTTGTTAAAGTATGATAACCACAATGCAGGCCAGCGCCAGCGCCAGCGCCAGCGCCCCACTCCCCACTCCGACCATCTCACCGTTTTGCGTGCAAAAGAATCGCCGCAAATAATAATAAGCAAGTTGGATTCCAGTCCAGAGCCAGGGACTCGTTAACTCGCCTCCGAAAGTTAAGAAATGCATAAAATTTGTTAACAAGCTAAAAAATAATGCAGGAAAAAAATCTGTATATATAATGCCTTGTTCATACCTATCCCGGGGGTGAGCTGAGATTGGGGGCAGGCAGCTCACAAGGCAGCCATTTTCTTAGCGGAAATAACTAACAAGCGCGAAATTTTTCTTTTCTGATGCCCTGACTCAGTTTTGGGCATCATTGCTATTCGATTAGATTTATTCCTTGTATATATCCTTACCTAAAGGAAAAGCATTATCTAATTTAAAAATAGTTGAACTAATTTTTGTTATTTTTCGATTGGTAAAATATTGATTTAACTTGAAAGTAAAGTAATTAATTTTAACTTAAAGTATACCTTAAAAAGTCCATCGGGCAAGCAGTATTAGTTTCGTAAGGCCAGGTGTTCAAAGAGCTAACTGAAAGGTGCATTTACTGGCTATAAAAATGAAATGAGAATAATTATCTTTTTCTACGCATTTTTTTTTAAAATTGTTTTTGTGTTAAAATCCGTAATTAAAAGCTTTTACTATAAAAATTATATTTATTATGTTAATTAAAACGAATGGTATTTATAGTTGGATCTGCAAAATCATATCATATTTGTTTTCCTGTAGAAATCATCATAAAATTCCAACTGAAGATTGAAAGTTTCTAAAATTTAAAAGAGCATTCCAAGTTGGGCTTTAAGTCTTAATACTCTCTGATTCCTTATATATGTTAGCATTTTAAGGGTGAATGTGTATTGTTTGCGCCAAGAATGCATCAAGATTTGTGTGTTAAACTATGTTAAATGGTTATTTCAATGCAAAGTTTCGCTAATGAGAACTAGCAGAAAAATCTGCAAATAATGTTGAGGTTCTTCTGTAGAAAGTTTTAGGCCAACAATAGTTAACAACAGTGTGTGAAACTACTACCAAAAAAAATGTATTCATATTCGCCCCAAAACCTTGGATTGCTGTCGTCACTAGGTTTTTTTCAAAAAAATATTACATATATTTTTAAATTGCATTTCAATTGGTTTTGTTTCGGTGAGTTTTACTTTTTTTTTTTTTGGTTTTTTCCTTTCCGCTTTTATGGCTGGCAGTTCGCATATTTTTGCGGTTTCAGTATTTTTTTTTTGTGTTGCCTGCCACTTATTTGACCGCTAATTACATTTTAATGTAAATTAATGAATCCGCGCACTTAACTTGGCCACATTGGCCATCTCTCTCACTCTCACTCTGTCACTGCGTCTGGCTCGCTCTCTCTGTCACTCACACACTCTGTCTGTGGTCTCAGCCTGTCAACTTGTCTGGCCGCCATCCTCCTCGCCAACACTCTGACTCATTGAGAGCTCCATGGAACCACGTCCACAACATCAAGAAGTTGCCTCATTAGCCAGTCGCGTTGAAAGCCAGAAATCGGAGATTTTTCGTTTTCTTTTTTTTTTTTTGCCTGAACATTTTGATAAATGATTGAAATAAATGATGTTGGCTTTGGCTTTGGCTTTGGCTTTATGGCTACGGCTGAACTGAACAGAAATTTGAGAGGAGTCTCTGACATTTTGGTTTCACGCAAATGGAGATCATTAGGCATTAAAATTGAAGGCAGATCATATTGATGGGATGTAACAAAAAATCAGGAAATTTCTATAGTTAATCGGTAGAAATATGTTATAGAATTTATATGATTTTTTAGTGCATTCATATATCAGTTATAGAATTATTCTGCTTTGTGTGAGGGGCACAAACATTAACAAAAATTCCCAACAAATAAACTGGGATATAATTCCAGTTTTGCCTGTTCCGATTTTACATTTGCATTGTTTTAAAAAGTCAAAATAATCACGAAATGTTTTGTTATAAATCAAAATTTACAGTGGGACTTGGAAATTAATTTAAAAGTTTGCGAAAAGATTCAGAAAGGAAATCAACCACAGTATAATATAAACATCTTAGCCTCACCCATTCATCATCTTAAACCCCTCGTCATGGCCCGCAGTCATGCTTAA